TTAGCCGGCACGATACGGTGTGAAAATAAAGATATAAGGGGTCCTTAAAAAGCTCTGAAAATCATGGGATCCCTTCAAAAACCTTTAAAAAGTAAATCCGTTTATGAAGAATTAAACAAACAAACTGAAAATCAATCTAATCCTAGTTGTTCCCAGCCTAGACGACAAAGTTGTAACACTATATTTTGCCTCAAAGGCAACTTGATCGATTTTTATAATCGTCCTTTCATTTGCACCCATCACGCACACCAACGCACCTGGCTGGACCACAGGACCTCAGGAGGTCCTGTCCAACCCCCCCACCCCCACCTGGCCTTGTCCAGTCAAGCGGTCCATTGTCCCCGCAGTGACTGTCATGAAGTCCAACAAAGCGGAAGCTGTAGGAATTTACCAACGTTTAAACTTTAATGCCTGCTACAACAGTTTTTATTCCTTGGTCCTTTTCTCTTGCCGTCCTTGCTGCATGTGTGTCTGTGTGTGGGCTTGAGATTTTTTTCCATCCAGCCAGGATGTCTCTCTTTTTACGCCCCGTTTTCCCCTTTATCCCTCTGCCCGCTCCAATTGAACCTAATCCGGCTGCTAAAGTATTAGCTACGTAGTTGTATGCTCATCCCGGCTGTCCAAACTGCCTTATGCTGCTTTTGTTGTTTGCTGGCATTTAGCAAAAAAACAAAAACAAAAGAAGGCCGAGAAAGGAGCCGGAGGAGAAAAGCGGGGAAAATCAGGCGGAATGCCAGGGTGTCCTCTGGCCAGAAGTGACGTTTGTAAAAAGTTTTCCCTATGTCCAAAAAAGGGGTTGAGAACTGGAGGAGGAACTGCAGCGTCCACTTAATAACAAGGCATCAGCCGCTGGACGTCACTTGGCATACTAATCCATAGCCCACTTGCGGCTCCTACTGAATTAAGTGACCAGCCCGTGAGGGGAGTGCCCCATTCTTTGGTATATGGGATGCCATATATTGTATTGTATATGCTGTCACACGGGGAAAAAATAATCTAAGCATATGCATAAGTACTACAGTCCTGTATTATACAGTCCATGATACCAAATATGTTTGTTTTAACCTCTTAAAAACCTACATGATTTCTTCAACATAATAAGACCGCGAATTCTTTATTATTCTTTTAACTATAGAAAGAATATTATTGTACATACATTTCAGATCGATTGATCAAAAGTATTTTCAAATAAAGTTTAACATTTCAAATACTTTATTTCTCCCAGTGCATCCTTCGGGGATTCTTTGCTGCATTCCTGCACCTGCCTTGCAGCCAGACAAAGTCGCTGCCAAAGTGGACAGTCAATGGACAGCAGGGCAAAGACATTAATGACAGCCAACATCAATGAGTGTCGGGTGGCGGTGAAAAATTAATACAAAACGACGTTGACAAGCCGGGGAAACAAAGGATACCCCAACTCCAGGAATCCCAACTGGCTGGCAGGTGATGCTCCAATGGCTTGACTCGGCGTCAAACATGGCGTATGATTGATTTTCCAGTCGTAAACTATGGCTGAGCTGTGAACCAATGTCCTGAGGCAGGGGACCGTCCAGATAAAGCGGCAAATAAGCTTCAATAATAATAAAAGTTATAAATCTTTTGCATGGTCTGCGGAGGACAAGGCGAAGTCCTTCCAAAAGGACAACGACGACATGCTGCAACGGGGCGATAATAACAATTTATTGCAAACACACACACATGCGAGCTGGGGAAAATGCCGCGAGACACGATTGCAACAACAAATGGCAAGGACAAAGCGCAAAAAGCGAGCATAAAAACCGCACAATAATAAAAATGAACAATGACAGGTTAATAGCAAATAAATGAAAGCCCATAAGGAGAGAGCCGTAGCCCTCGGCGGAACGGAAAAGCGGAAAAGCGGGAAAACACCAGCCAGACAAAGGAGATGCCGATGCCGATGCCTCCGGTCCAGACTGCCAGCCAGCCAGCCAGCCAGCCGACAAACTATCCCCTTGGCCTAGGCACAATTGATATATAGTTTTCAATTTTAAAAACCATTGAGCAGCTGCATCGCCGAGGCATTCTGGCAGAAAAAATGCCCAAGATATACGTAGCACGCTGCTGGCATATTTAAAACATAATAACTGCAGGGAGGACCGGGGGAAGGATAAACGTTGGAGGATAGACGAAAGACCAGCCAAGGATAATGGTGGCAAACGTACTTAACGGCCACAATAATGACGATAATGGGCGATGAGTTAGCGGCGAGCAGGTTGACAAAATGCACTCGGCATGCAATGCACACTGCCTGCCAATAATAATCGTCATCATCATCATCATTATCATTAGGATGGAGCAGTAGGACGAGCTGCCGAAGGACTTCCAACATTCGCACACGAATCGGTCTTTGTGTCTGCTTATGGAAGCGGAAAATGCATTAACTCAGCAGCAGACGCCGAACTGAATTTATTTTCACATTTTCAGGGGTGCTTTTCCCCCACGAACCACGGCTCTAAATTCATCAGCCTAATTACAGGGCTCTTAATGGCTTCTCCAGCGGAATTTATAGTGTTTCCCAATATATTCAAAGGTCTTTCTCTGTAAATTCCCTAATTTCAACTGTAGTTATATGTACAATTATGTTGCCATTTGGCAAACATTTAATATGCTTATTTATTCAATTGCATTGTGTGTGGCGGGGAAAAAACTATGGCTATAAAATAAATATGCAAATCGGGGTAGAGCCTGCACAAATAAAATAATATAAATAATTTCCATTATGAGAGCAGCTAAATGGTCTTCAAATCAGCCATAATCTGCCAGCTCTACGCGCTCAATTTTATTTCACTTTATTTTATTTATTTTATAATTTAAATATGCCATATTTAATATATGATAGGTGTCGCAAGCCGCCTGCAAGCGGATTAAATTCGACCCGCCACATTTTATTAAATTTTCGTTTGGCGAAACGAAGCGCCAAAGTGACAAAGAGGAAAATCGATCACCTGTTTAAAGTTGGCCCACCCAAGCCCCGAAAAAAAAAACCGAGAAGGTGGGCGGACAACAATGGCGGGGGCTACTTGGCAGCTGTGCCAACGCATCAGTCAACGTCCTTAGTGTCCTTAACAAAGGACGACATTTGCCGGTTGCGACACTCAGACAAAAAGGGGAGCCACTTTATAAGCCAAATTCAACGCTGCCTTTGTCTGTTTGCTCACAACTTTCAACTCTCAACTAGCACATTCTTGTGTCGTTCGCTTTTGGCAATTTGTTTCTGCATCTTACAACGAATTCAATTAAGAATTTCAGCAGACACTCGGCAAATTTAAAAACAAATTTGCCGCAAAGCAACGTCAGCAAACTTGGCGAAAGAAGAAACTTTTCTTTCTCCAGCTCCACAGTTCTCCAGTTCGATTTTCAATTCCCTGTCTTGGAAAAGCTGGTCAAGTGTGGACGTGCGTTTAAATGTTACGTATACGCCGCGTTGTCCGCTGCACTTTACTGCCTCGTCTCGTCTTGCACTTTTCACTCGAAGTCTAAGTCGAAGGGAAAAAAAAGGAAAAAAACAACAGCAGACAGACTGAAGGGCCACACCCCCTTTCCCTGGTATTTACTCTTCCGCCCACGTCGTCTGTTTGCTTTTCCTACGAGTATGGTATGGTATGTTTGTTTGCCTTTCGTTTAGTCAGAATGCCAACTATGACAAAATCATTGAATCAGGGAGTCGAAATCAAAATCGAATCGAGTCGATTGACTGAGCCAATGCCAGTGTGGAAATTGTCAATAATTTCAAATTGATTTCTATTTGATTTAGCAGGGAGCAACAAAGGCGGACACCTTTGCACCTATAATTGTGATACGGATAGGATCGAATAGGTGTCTGTGTGTTTCCGTACTTTTCTTTATTTCAGAGGCTAAGTGAAAACGTAAACTTTGACAAACACGCGGGCCTCGTTCTGGGGCCAAATAACATTAGACAGCTATTAGAGGCTTGGTCGACTTTTACGACGAAACCATAAAAAGCATTACTTGAACTGCTCGAGCTGGTCGTAAAACTCGTGAAATTTGTAAGGACCTGCGACTCGGACTGGGACTGAACTGGGACTAAGAATACATAGGCCATAGGCGTAGGCAGGCAATAAAAGCCAATCGATAAGTGCCCAAAGTGTTGGAGGTCCTCGTAAACAAATAGGCTGGGCCCACACCTCAATGGGGACCTACGTCGTTCATCCATCAGGGAATCGTCAAAGGAGTTTCCCAGTTTCGGGAAACGAATTTATTAGCCGGCCCATCAACATATCGATTATGACAATTACGCACAGGAAGCGCTAATGTGGGAATTAGGAATTTGATGGGAGAGGTTTTAAAAGTAAAGGGGTGGGAAATAATATTTACTAGAACATAAATGATCTCTGACCCCGTGAGTAATGTTATGTTTATGGAACCCTGTTAGCCTCGTCTGTCTATAAAGTAGGTTTCTTTCAGTGTAAAAATCATTAAAAAATAACATTTTTTATGGAACCTTTAAGTACTTAAGCCACCAGTTAGAAAGCAGAATATATTGTAAGTATGTTGTTATAAATAAACTGATCATTAATTATATCGAAGTTAATTGTTCAGTTGTTTGGAAGCCTCATAAAATGTCTTCATTATGCCTTGGTATAATTAATCAAAAGTTATATCTCAATAGGAAGATTAAGATTCCTTTACCATGAATATAATATTTGGTTTTGAAATTCTCTATTGGGATCAAAAGGAAATATTATTCAGAGGGAGCTAAAGTCTATCTCCATTAAAGATATATATATTGTGTAACTATATATAGATTTAAAATTCTCTAAGACAATAAATATATCTCAACTTGGAATGAAAAAGTCTTTTAGAAGAATTAAGATTTTCTTCTTGAAAATTAGACTTTATTTCAGATATATTTAAAATATACATGGAGTTAAAAATTCTTCAGATGAGTTAAGTTTTTTCACCGTGAAGATGATATATATTTTGGATAATATATATAGCTCTCTGGTTCTTGGGCTTACCCTGCTTGGGCGAGATGCAGAGCACCTGCTGCTGCGGCGACTGCTGCTGCGAGTGGATCTGGTACTGCTGCTGCTGCTGCACCACCACCGCCTGCTGCTGGGCGGCGCAGACGGCGGCGGCCACCGCCTGCTGCTGCTGATGGTGGGCGGCTGCGGCGGCAGCGGCGGCTGCTGCTGCGGCCTGCTGCTGCGACTGCTGCTGCTGATGCGGCGACTGCGACTGGGGGTGCTGCTGCTGTTTGCTGCTGCTGCTGCGTGGTGACAATGGTCATCTGCTGCGGCTGCTGCTTGCCGTTGGGGGCCTGTTGCAACTGCGACTGCTGCTGCTGTTGCTGCTGCTGGGGGGCGGGCGCCTGTTGCTGCTGCTGCTGCTGCAGGTGCGTCTGGTGGATGGCCAGCAGCTTTGTCTCGTAGGGCTTTCCGTGGGCGGCGCTGAGCGTCATCTGGGCGGTGGCTGGCATCATCAGCGTGGGCATGGCCAACATTTTACGGCTGTCGTGTTGCAGTGGTGCAGTGGTGGCTCCGGGGGCGGTGGTGCTGCTGCTGCTGCTGCTGTTGCGGTGCGCAATTTGCACGTTCTGCGGTTGGACGCAGCTCGCTTTGATGCTTAATGAAGTGCCTGCCGCCTTGCAGTTGATGATATAAATAAATTGTGTTATAATTTGGCTAGGTTTTTGGTTTTTTTATATTTTGTTTTTTATTTTTTGGTTTTTGAATGGCCGCCTTTTTGTGTGAAACCGCACAGTTGCTGCTGCTGCTTGTTGTTTGGTCAAACGATTTGATGCATTAAATAATTTCTACAATTTTGCTAATTTGGAAAATTCTGCCTTTTTTGTGGTTTTCCTTGCCGTTTGGTTCCGCTGCGTGTTGTTTGTGGTTCGTTTGTTTTTTTAGTTTTCATAAAAAATTTCCTCTTTGCTTGACCTTCACTTATCACAGACCAATGAAATTTGTTTTCGAAAAGTTCATTTGGTTTTTTGAATTATGTTCCCAGACAGAATCCCCAGCACTCAAGGCAAGTGGATTCCTTTTGGTTATCTCTTTCTATGGAAATATTAAAACACAAATTGTGGTTTAAGCTCAACAACAAACATATACCACAAGCTGAAAATCATGAGTATAAACAAACAAAACAAGGATAATTAACTTTTGCTGGCTGTCCTGCTAGTGTGATCAAAGTGCTTCGAACCATAAGAAGAGTAAATAAAACTGACGACTCGCCTCGGTTTTATGGATGCCACGCACAACCATTATCATATATCAAGACTAAGCCATTCACACATCATTTGAAAAATTAAATTTAATATTTTACGATTTGTGTGCTTGCTGGCATACGCATACAAAGCGCAGAAACATGAGCCAACAAAAAATAAAAAGTTATGCGCGTAACGCAATGTCTAAGTGCCAAAAGCAGAAACAGACAGCTCAGCGGCGAAAAAAATTATAACAATAATAATAAAAGCAGCGGAATACAAGTGCCAAACAAAAAAAAAATACCACGCACAAGAAACCGAGCTGGGGCTTTACTTTTACGACAGACCCCGAAAGATGTGGCCGTGCTTTTGCTGTGGAAGCATGCTGTGGGCCCAAAGTCCTTTTCTTTCCTGACACCCTGTACGCCCCAAGTGTTGGCAAGTGTCAGGATCAGACGCTTCCGGTTTTTATATCTCGCCCACGGAGACGGACGGACAGACAAATGCTATGTATAAATATAAATATAAACTTATATTTTTATGTTTATTTCGAGAGCCCAGGACACACGGAAGCACTCGCGGGCAAAAAAAAAAAACAGACGGAAAAAAAGAAACCAGGACGAGTGCAGGGGCCACACCAAAAATACAAAATACATACGGCACCCAGCATTCCCTTTTTTGCACGATAAAGTGTATGTGTGTTTGCCGGAGGACGAGAGCATGAATCACACACAGCTGCAGTGTCCTTTTTATATAGGAAGAACCCAGTCGGCAGGCAGCATTTATTGGCTGCTCGTTGTCGGTTTATGTGGCCCACAAGCCGAAGTGCCAGACGCCCGTAGTTGTACATAATGTGGATATGGCCAAAAACACAACAGGCACAACAAAATACATGCACGCAAAAAGCGTTGTGGCTCTGGCTATGTAAATATGGCCAAAATCGATGCTTGCCTGGGTGACAACGGAGCCAAGGAACCCGAAAGGGGTTAAGCGTTATCAAAAAATTCGCCACTCAAATCGATTTTCTAGAAAAATCTTAGAAATGATTTTTGGAAAAATTCAAAAATCTTAAATAAAACCATATCACTCATATTTCTAAGCACTTATATTTCTATACGAAACACTTGGCAAGTTTATGCAACAAAAGTCTTTTTGAAAACCCAGTAACACTTTTTAACTAAATAAAAAAAACGTTTTCGAAACACTTAAGCAGTCAGCACTAAAAAAGGCATAAGAACTTAAAACAACTTGTTTCAAAATAAATATATAACTGATTTATGAATATTTCTTTTCATTTTTTCTCCAAGTTTTTAATATTTATTATTTTTGTTTAAATTATTTTTTTATCATAATTGAGTTCTTGGTTAGTTTTTCGTTTGTTCGGCTTTCGTTTATTTCACTTCGTCGATTTCTGGTTTTCCTTTTTTTTCGCTTTTTCTTACTTTTCGGTTTTTATTTTGAATTCTCTTTAGCGAGCAGTTGGCTTTCGGTTTGCTTTTGGTTGGTTGGTTGGTTTGTTTGTGAAATTATAATAACAACTTAACAACAATGTAACGAATATCCTTTCTTAACGAGGACACAATTCAAACTGAAAGCGAAGCGCCTTCGTCCGCCTCACAAATAGTCAACACATCGTACCGCTCCGGTCGTTTACCGTTATTCTGCCGGCGTCGCTGCCGCTCCGAAATCCTTTCATCCTTGCCGACTGTTTAGCAGTCGTGTTGGCCATAAGGAAAACTCCCGAACGATAACCGAAGTCCTGGCAGGAAAATTCTCTCTCAGGCATGCGCAAGTGGAATTTCGAAAAGGTTGCTGTCCTGGCTGTGGGTTTTTCCAGGATTTTCTTTGTGTTTTTCCTATGATATATTTCCCTACTTTTACCAGATATTATGGGATATCTCACTGTTATACGAAAGGCTTTAGACTTGTTCTGTTAATCTGGCTTATCATTTTTCTTAGCAAGGTTTGATTCTAACAGCGGTTTTGAATTACAGATTAGCGCCTCCGTACTCATTATGCAAAAGACCCCGAGTCATGAGTGGAGTGTTCTTAAACGCTTTACACTAGGCAAACAAACAAAGGCCCATACCCACACACACACACTGGCCCACATGCTATTGGTTATGCGCTCGAGAGCCAATAATCCACTTTTGTTTTGTTTTCACTCCCCGTACACCCAAAACCACCCGTTCAGCCACCCATTCAAACACCCATTCACCCACCCAAACCACCCGCAGCACTCAGCTCGTTGCGGCTGCTTTTGCCCTTGCCCGCCACCACTTAATTTCTACTTGATTTGTCGTTTAAGAAAACTAATTGTCTGCCTTTTGTTGAGCGTGAAAACAATGGAAAACATTTTAGCAACTGTTACTCTGCGCCGAAAGCGTATTAGACGCAGACCTCCAAAGACGTTGGGCCCAAAGACGTCTGGGCAGCATTTTGCGGCCATGTGGAGGGAAAAGTGGCCAAGATGGGTCTGAGTCGCTCAAATGGCTCTGGTTTTTGGTCAGGCAAGGGGGAAAGAGGCCGCAACTCTTCAAGGTCACTTCAGACGACTTCCCAAGCTCAAAGTTCCATAAGTCGAACATCCGCTTAAATAAATTCTAAGACTTATATTCATTTGATTCTCACGGTTTCTATTTTTATTAACTATCCTAAGAGGATACTTTTATCATATAAATACTCTCATTATCCTAAGAGGCTTTTAAAGGCATTTAATAGTGATAATATAAAAATAATAAATTAACTGAGTCGAAAGCTAGACTTTAAGCCTTACAGACCACTGGTCGAGTTAAGCAAGTTCAACTGTAGCTTGGAGATGAGAGGCCAAAGCGACAATCTTCTTTTCTGTATCTCAAAGCGGCCTCCTGATCGATTTCCCGCAAAGCGGAAACGGATACGGATACCCATACCAATCTCACATGGCGGAATAACGAGGCAAACTCTGCGTTGCATATTCATGGGGCAGGCACAAACACAAACACTCGTTGCAGGACGAAATGACGTCGATGGTGTAACAGATATCGGTTACGTTGCATGCAACTTCGGCAGTGCAAGACCTTCAGCAAAGAAAGGGTTAAACTTGGGGCAAAGCGAGCGAGAAGTAGAGAACCTTGTCGTACGCATAATTATAATCTTTAAATGTGCCCTAAAATTAAGGTTTAATATAGGAAAGCATATTAATTAATGAAAAATGTATATAGGTATGCCTTATATTCACTTTAACGTTGATATATATAGACTTAAAATGTAATAAAAAAAAACAATTAACGATTTTTTAAGGTGGAATCCTTCACAAATTCCTAAAAGTTAATTTAATGTACCAAATATCTGACAAAACCTTTTCATTTTTCTATAGAAGCCCTGATTAGCATTGACCTACTACAGAAATTCGGCTTCAATTGATGGCTGCCTAAATATCTTTGTATCTGCTGCATTATGCAAATGACCAACTTCGTCGTGACGACAATGATGAAAAAGCAAAAGCAACATGAGCAGCAGAAAGTAAAACAGCAACGGCGATAGCAACTCGGCGACACATTATCCTGCGACTAAATATGTATAAACACAAACAGCAACTGCACATACACACACACACCTTCGCAGGACTCACGTGAGCGATTAAAATCTGAAGGAAAGTATTTCAGTTTTACTTTTTTCCCCCCACATTTTTTCCTTTTTTTAGGGCTGCAGCCGAGGGTTGCTGATGTGCAAATGAGTTCAGTTGGAAGGGTTGCTGGCTGTGCCAGTGGCAGCGGCGTGTAATTGGAGGCGAGTGTCGTGTAAAATGTAAAACTTGCGCCGTAAATAAATCAAAACTTTCTGACTGAACAAACATTCAGGTGAGCGAAAAAATGCAACAGCAACGGCGAATGGCAACGGCAACGGCAACTGCAACAGCAACAGCAGCGCCACCGGCAACATCAGCGGCCCAGCAGCAACATTTTCATATTGACAAGTGTGCCGAAGAGGGAAAGCGTGGAAAGTGGAAGGTGGGTGGGTTGAGGGGGACTGGGAAATGGGTGGGCGGTATGGTGGCTGGGAAAACTCAAGCAGCGGGCAAAAACAAGGCTGCTGCTGCCGGGGTTATTTACACTAAAAATTGGAACAGCTGCAAAGCGAAGCACTTACAGCTGCTGCCGCGGGGTTTTTAAAGGAAGGGAAAGCCGAGAAGACGAAAGCCAGCTGATGCAAATTTCCCCTTGAATTTTAGACCCCTTAATGCCAGTCTTCTTTTAAAAATAACACTTAAATTTACCCGGGATTTACAGACTTGTATGAATATACATTTTATTGATAACTAGAGTCAAGTACCTACATTATATATACAAAAAAAGTTTCCATTTATATGAAAATTAGCATTTTTAAGCTGGTAGTTTAGGACTATAAATAAAAATATATTTATTATGCTAATTTTCCCATGATTTTTAGACTTTTTAATGCTTATCTATGATTTATTGAAACCTAACTTTATGTAACACAACTATTTTAATATTAGTTATTGTTTTATTGTTCATCATTTCACTTTAAACTTACTATTTCAAGCCAAAAAAAATTTATTAATTATTAATATTTATATTATTAACCAATATTGACAGTTCCCTCCCAGAAAAGAGTTAACACGACCTTGCACAACAACCCAGAGAATCTCCAGCCCATAAATTCCCATATATTGATTTATTACATAATATGCTAAACACTAACCACACCAGGTTCCGCCTTGCAGAAAGTTTCGTCTTGATTTATACATTCATTATTCTATCATATTTAAGGGCGGAACGCACAAATGAAATGTAAATGGCGCTCTGGCAGCGGATTAATACGGTTGCTCAACACAACGACTAAATAAAGTGAATTTAAGTTGGGGCCAAAAAGTTTTCGGCCGCAATCCCGGCTCAAGGTGGTCAGGCCAAGGCGTCTTTCACATTTGTATAGTCGTCATAAAATGATAAAAATATTAATATAAATAAATGGGGGAGAAATTCCGAGACCATTTGCCAGTGCTACGGCTTTTGTTTGCGGGCAGCTCAGAGGAAAGTTTTGATATCATCTTTAGCGAAACATCCGGGAAAGTTGGGGGGTGAGAAAAGGGCAGGAACTCTCGCATAAGTTGACAATTTTTTGTAGCTTTGACTGGGCTTTCCCCTGTTTTTTTTTGTTTCTGCTTGCCTATTTACCGCTTAGGCTATTTGTTTGTGTATGTATATTTTTGGGCCACAAACTTTTGCACCCAGCTGCCTTAGAGCCTGTCCCATAATTGATGGTCAGCGTTTAACTTAATTGTATGTGGGAATCTGAGCTGCCGGTGGCATGGTGGCAGGGGCATGCTGATTGTGTCAAGATTTCATTTCAATTTGCGCCGCGATAAGGCTGCGAGACATAAAAGTAAATTGAAACGCCTGACAGTGGCTCTGACAACGGAGCCGTGGACCAGTGGACCACTGGACCAAAGGACTGAGAGACTGAAGGACCAAAAGGACCTACCAATGGACCGCCGGAACAGCCGGATGGCAGGATATCAGGATAGCCAGGTGCTACTGCTCCCGACCATCATTGCTGGACGTCAGAAGCTCGTCACGCACGTGCAGGTGGAGCAGTTTCAAAAATTTTTAATTGAATTTGCCACTGGACAGAGAAAGGGACTCTCATACACGGCGAAAAAAAATTGTGACAATTTTGGCTCTCAGCTGTTATCTCATTTGTCAATCACACGTCAAGGTTTCAACTGTTGGATATATTTTTGAAATGCTCCAAAGCCTTATCAGTGTCATATTTATGACAAGTCATTATTCACTTAAATATAATTTCAGAAGACAATTTTTAAATAATTTAATCTTATCTAATAATTAATTTAAAATATATTTTAATATTGTAAGAGGTATTTTTTAGTATTTTTCATTTAATGAAAAATAAATATAATATTAAAGGAGATTGGAAATATTATAATGTATTTAGAAAATACATATTTGAGATCTCAATTTATCTATTTTCTTTTGATACACTTTATTTCCCCCAGTGCAACACTCGTACTCACTGTGCAGTGGCGGCATGTACTCCATTTCCTCGTCGGAGTCCTCCATGTCCTGTCCGCCTCCTTCGGTCCTTGCTGCCCGTGGGGGCGTGGCAAAGGAGTTGGTACGCAGCGCCATTTCCATGGCACGCAGGGCGGGCAAGTTCCTGGGCAATTTGCCATTCTGCAACGGAGAGGCGACCGATGGACCATTAAAATTAGACAATAAATAGATAAAGATGAAAATAAAAACACGTGCCAGGTCTTTCCAATTTCGAGGGAGACAGTGCCCTAATTGAGGCATTCAACTTGATTACGACTGAGGGAGCTGAGGACGAATGGCTAACGGGAGACTAATGCCAAGGCCGACAAATGTCCTCTGAAGTGGCGTGCAAATCATGAAAAAGGATTACACGTACTAAAACCTGGAATGGAAACAAATTTCCCATCCCCCCGCTCTGCAGGACCTCGTCCTGTGGGTTAAGTTAAGTTTTGTTTTCCTCCTTGGGTTTTCCTCTCATTTCGGTGACTAAAAAGCAACGATGTGACGACAACAATAACAACCAGGGGGAGTAGCGGCCAGAAATCC